AGAGCTGGTTTGGCTCAGTGGGATGAACGGCCGCCGTGAGAGCCGGTGGCAAAGGTTCAAATCCTACATGTGACATTTGCTGCACATCTTCCCTCCTTGCACTCTCCCTGCTTTCTTGACACTCTTCAGTCTAGTCTTTCAAATAAAGCAATTTTCAGCATACAGTTCAGTTTGTACACAGTGTTTTCAGCAGATAGTTCTCCTTCTTCTGCTTTTTTCAGATTCCACTGCATGGCATTCACAGTGCACTTTTGCAGGAAATGCAACTTTTTCTAGTTAGAGAGAAAGAATCTGTCTCTAATTTCATTAAAAATGTGTTTTCTTGAGCAGTATTAGAACTGTAAATGTGTACTCATGCTCTAATTTTTCACATAACATCCATAACATATGTGTGTAATTTCATCTACATTTACTTGAGCAAGCAGAGTGTCTTTTAGTGTTACCGACACATCAGCAGTAACCCTGTTCCTCTTCACAGTTTTAAATATAGACCCAAGTGTGCTGATAAAACAAAATGTAAAGACTATAATGTTTGCCACTCCCTCCTTCTCACTGTTTATCTCTCACAGAAGTATTTGCACACTTCCTGTTGTTAACCACACTCGTTTAGTAATACATACTCCCTGTTTCTACTTTTTTTTTTCTACACTAATGCTGATTCTAACATTTTCAAAGGCATATCGGACATAGTGAAGACATAGATTTGGACAAAAACACTTATGTTAATATGGCAGTTACATTGTGTATAAAGGAGAATATGAACTAAATTTGAAAAGAGTCAAAAGCAGAAGTACATTCCTAATAATGTACTAAGAAAAAGTAGACTCCTGTAAACCTAGAATAGTGTGACATCTAGTGGACAAAAATGTAAACTAAAATTACACTGAGCTCCAGCTGAGATATATATATATATATATATATATATGTATGTGTGTGTGTGTGTGTGTGTGTGTGTGTATGAGAGAGAGAGACTCTTTGTGTGTATTTCTTTTTCACTGATAAACATTTTTTATATCTCTTGTAGCTGTTAATAGATGTTAATATAAGACCCCACTTATAATCTTCTTATAATAATCTGTGTGTTTGTTTCATTGTCCAACAGTTCCTGCTGCACAATCAGGATTTAAGCAACAAAACAAGGCACACAGGTTGGTCTCAGGCCTCTCAAGGCTCTTACCTACAGCAGATGGTATGATGTCATTTGGCAACAATTTTATGTATTTATTTACATTTATGCAACAATAGC